TGTGTTATGATGCAACGAGGTAAGGTCATCGCCTATGCCTCGAGACAGCTGAAGACACACGAGGTCAACTACACCACACACGATCTTGAACTAGGAGCAGTTGTGTTTGCTCTGAAGATCTGGGGACACTACCTGTATGGTACAAAAAGCACTATCTTTACAGACCACAAAATCCTACAACACATATTCGACCAGAAGGAGCTCAACATGAGACAACGAAGGTGGGTCGAGCTACTCAGTGATTACGAATGCGAAATTTGTTATCATCCGGGTAAAGCCAACGTAGTAGCTGACGCCCTAAGTCGGAAAGAATACTCTAGTCGTAGAGTCAAATCATTGACTATGACTATCCATTCACAATTGTCCACGCAAATTAAGGAGGCTCAGCTCGACGCTTTGAAACCTGAAAATGTGGCGAGTGAATCCCTGAGAGGGATGGATAAGAACTTGGAAGTCAAAGGTGGCGGAGCCTTATATTTCATGGATCGGATCTGGACACCGAAACACGGTGGTTTCAGAGACTTGGTCATGACCGAGGCGCACAACACTCATTATTCCGTCCACCCAGGTTCAGATAAGATGTATCTGGATCTTGAAAAGCTATACTAGTGGCCTAACATGAAAGCAGAGATTGCTACCTTCGTAAGTAAATGCCTTACTTGCGCCAAGGTCAAGGTCGAATACCAGAAACCCTCAGGTGTTCTACAACAGCCTGAGATACCAGAATGGAAGTGGGAGCGGATCACTATGGACTTCATAACCAAGTTGCCCAAGATAACGGGTGGACTTGATACCATATGGGTCATCATCGACAGATTGACCAAGTCCGCACACTTCCTGCCTATCAAAGAGACAGGCAAGATGGAGAAGCTTACAAGAACCTACATTTGGGAGATTGTACGACTGCACGGTGTTCCCATATCCATTATCTCCGATAGAGATAGTAGATTCACTTCGAGGTTCTGGCAGTCGCTACAAAGTTCCCTAGGAACTAGGCTGGACATGAGTATAGCCTACCATCCACAAACCGACGGACAAAGTGAGAGGACTATCCAAACCTTGGAAGATATGTTGCGAGCCTGTGTGATTGACTTTGGGAAAGCATGGGATACTCATTTACCCCTTGTCGAATTTTCCTACAACAACAGTTATCACACGAGCATAAAGGTTGCACCATTTGAAGCCCTCTATGGCCGAAAGTGCAGATCCCCTCTGTGCTGGGCTGAGGTGGGTGACACCCAGTTAGCTAAAGGACGAGTTCCTGATAGCACTCTCACAGGTCCGGAGATCATACGGGAAATGACAAAGAAAATCGTTCAGATTTGCGAACGATTGAAAGCCTCTAGAGACCGACAGAAAAGCTACGCAGATAAACAAAGGAAACCGTTGGAATTCCAGGTGGGCGACCGTGTTCTATTGAAGGTCTCACCCTGGAAGGGCTTAATACGCTTTGGAAAGCGTGGAAAGCTAAATCCAAGATACATAGGGCCTTTCGAGATTCTCACTAGAATCGGCCCTGTAGCTTACAAACTTAACTTACCCCGCGAACTCAGTAACATACATTCTACTTTCCACGTCTCGAACTTGAAAAAGTGTCTGTCCGACGAGCCTCTTGTAATCCCACTCGACGAGATCGAGATCAACGAGAGCCTCAACTTCGTGGAAGAACCTGTGGAGATCATGGACCGGGAGGTCAAGCAAATGAAACAAAGCCGTATCCCGATAGTGAAGGTTCGCTGGAACGCCAAGCGAGGACCTGAATTAGTTGGGAGCGAGAGGATCAGATGAAACTGAAATATCCTCGTCTTTTTACTTAGTTATTTGTAACAACTTATTTGCAAACAATAAAGTCTCAAAACTCACAAGAGTTTGGAGTTTACGGCCCAAACATAGAGTTTACGGCCGTAAACTCTAAGGAGTATAAATACGACACTTAGTCATTTTATACACTTTTTTACCATTTCAAGCCTAGAAACTCATTCTCTCTCAAGTAGCATCCGATTTTCCTTCTTGATCTTCAACTTCGTAAGTGTTTCTTGCCTTAATTAGTTGATATCCTTCATCATCTAGTAATCTTACATGATTTCATCCATGAAATCTCTTCATTTTGTTAGATCTTCAAGTGTTCTTCATTTCACCAAGAACACCAAGAACACACACTAGTGTTCTTGGACTTTAAACACCCTTACAAGCTTCTATATTGTAAGTACTCTTACCTTAGCTTGTTATAGGCTTGATACACTTGTTAAGCAACTAGAAAACATCAAGAAACATAAGATCATAAGTGTTTACGACCAAGGCAATCTCCTTGGGCCGTAAACTCTAATGAAAGGGCCATTGTGAGCCCTAGTCCCTTACTAAGCCTTGGATGCAAGTCTAGATCACTTCCTTGTGGAGTAGAGGACCTTAAAAAAACAAAAGAACCAAGCACACATGAGTTTACGGCCTTAAACTCATGAGGAATGGTCCATGGGCCGTAAACTCTAAAAGGTGGTGCAATGGTGCCACAATTACTTCCCAAGGCTTGGACTTGATCAGAGTATGCTTAACCTTGACTTGTAAGACCTTAAAACACCAAATGGTAGACGTTACCATGGGTTTACGGCCGTAAACCCATTAGGACCGTAAACCCTAAACCGTAAACTCATGGAGAGTTTACCTTTGAACCGTAAACTCAAAAGCAAAGCCCTACAACCCTTAGATGCAATCCTTGGTACTTATAGCACTTGAATCAAAGTGTTTTCCATGTTTTAGGGTGTCTTAACTTGGTTAATTAGTTGCTAAATGACTAATTGGTTACATATATGTGTCTTTATATGTTAAATAGGATCCGTGTGTGTGTTCAAGTCTTCACTTGACACTTAGCATCCTATACCATCCGTTCTTCCAAACCACTCACTACAGGTGAGTTCATACCCCTTAAATCTATCTTTTAAATGATTTTAAATGCTTTTATGGGGGGGGATACAAGTTAAAACATTATAGTTATTATATCAATCACATGTGATTAATAACTATCAAACAAAGGATTTGCTATTCAATTAGCTGTTTTAACAAACAAAACTACTTCAAATGGTCATCAAATACTTTTACATGTTAAATACTTTTTATTCAAACTCTTTTAAACTTATACTTGTTCAAATGCATATCTATATAGATATAGTTATATAAGTGGGATTGAAAGGACTTAGGACTGATAGCTTGCCTTACTTCCTGTTCCTTGTTTGGTTGTGGACTTAGGGTATCAGTTATTTGTCCGAAGGTCGTTTGAATCTTGGTTATATATTATGTATATGTGTATAGATATAAAGGTTCCTTCATTCAGTTCAATACCTTTGGGTAGCAAAGGTATACAAACATGTTCATTTATACAAACAACATTGCTAGTAAACTATAATAGGTATAGTTTAGGAAGTTACTAATACTATTACTAGAACAGTGAAACATATAATGAGTCAGTTCATACATGAGTCAATACATACTATGATGAGAAACAAACATAACATATAGATAGAGGATACTATGATGAGAACAAACATAACACACTATGATGAGAAGCAAACAATAACACACATAGAGAACATACATACATACTAGACAGAGAGAGAACATACAATACAGCTAGTACACACATTACATATACAAGAACATTACAACAGTTATGTGAGCCACGTAACGGGGCATGGCATCACCTGTCATGACTCGTTTTGTATCCAGAGTCTCCTACAAGGAGAGCGTTGAATTTGTGTATAGATCTATACTGGAATGACTATCCTACACCTTGCTGCTCGCTACAGTGGGACTTGCAAGTCTACGGGTGCCAAATGTCATTTCTTCCGACGTCTTTCATCGTCGTGTTTTTAGTCGGTAGTATGGTACAGGCATATCACATGTTACTTTAAATAACAAATTGGTTTAAGGTAATTAGTACAGCAGTAGTTACTTAATACAACACTACAGTACTTTATTATTTCCCCATTGCATTCACCTTGTGACCTTCACACAATGAACGGTAATGTAAAAACTATATTTTTGGTTAATGATAGTCATATTTGGGAAAATACACACTTTTACAAGAAACAAACACACATTACATTTGATGCCTTAGTAGAAGGCTACGTTTAGTAGGAAATATAGGATTTTCTAGGAGATACACACATTTACAAACATTTACAAACAATTACAAACTTATACATCAAGTACATACTAACATTTTCATACAAACTAAGACACTAAAATACTTATGAACTCACCAGCTTTAAAGCTGATCAACTCTTTCAAAATAACTTGTATTCTCAGGTCATCAGTAGACAGGTACCGATGCCAGGCTTTTGAGAAGTTGGAGCTCATTCAAGACTCATCTCATATTTTGATTTACTTTTTGGTGTCTATTAAACTTCACAGAACACACTTGTATTAAATTATTTTATTAATGCAATGGATGATGTTGTTGCTTGTTTACTACTATGCATTGTTGTGATACTGTACATGACGTCCTCCACCCCTGAACGTTTCCGTCGTTCCGGTTTTGGAGTGTGACAACTCGGCTGGACGAGTTTTGCTGAATTTTTCGATGGAAACTTGATTTTTCGAGTGTTTTTGGTTCCGACTCTTATATATACTTTATTAAATGATTTTTAACCCTAAAAAATTTAAGGGAAAAAATAAATTTGAAAATTTTATTTAACGGGATTTGACTTTCGTTGACTGAAAAAAGGTTCGGGTTGTCACACCACATTTGAGAAATTTAATTTGAGTCATTTTCACCTTTAGTGACATCGACGTCTTCAACATCCCTTCTTTTTTCTGTTTATTCAACTTCGGCGAACCAACACCATAACCCACTAAAGATGAAGAGACAATGGGTTGTAGTGTTAGTTCGTAGGAGTTGGAGGACCGAAAAAAGAAGGGATGATGTCACTAAAGATGAAAAGGAAATAAAAGTTAAGGAGGATGAGAGATGAGATGGTGACCGGTAGGACCCATATTAAAATTCTCAAATGTGGTTTCAGGTTTAGGGTGAGGAGATACATATATGTGAGGTCTATTAATTTTTTTTAAATATATAAAAAATAAATACATAAATAAGAAAATTAATTAAAAATAAATTAATAAGGGCATAATAGTCTTTTTAGGTAAGATAGGGACCAAACACATAACAAAAATAAACAGTAGGGACCATCCGAGTTAAAAAAAAAATAAGTTAGGGACCAAACGCATAAATTCTCCCAAACCAGAGGGACCATTCGTGTAATTTACTCTTACTTTGGGTAGCTATTTTTTTTTGTACACATCTAGGTAACGAACTTGTTGAAAATGTTCATATATAACCATTATGACCGGATGTAACCCGCTATAACAGGTCATAATGATGATATGTGAACACTTCCAACAACTTCGTAAATAGTTACCCAGACGCGAACAAACCAAAAAATTAATTACCTAGTAAGTCTTATTCCCAAAAAGATAACTGCCAAGAAAAAATAATTAAGAAAAAAAAGTCTTCCTAAGAGGGTGTTTGGGATAGCTTTTTAAACTAAAAAGTCATTTTTAGAAAATAACTTTTTGATTCATTTCTTTTTCCAGAAGATAAGTTTTAAAATGTGTTTGTTTAAAATTTTGAGGGGGCAAAGGGAAAAAAAAAAGCAAAAGTTGCTAAAAGTCAGGTGATTTCTTAATGCTCTCATTTTTATTCTTCTCAAAAACGTAATTTAAAATATCTTTTGAAATTACCAAACAACTTTTTAAACTTTTTAGTTTTTGGAAAATACAAAAAGTCATTTAAAAAAGCAAAGGCAAACACCTCTAATTAAAAATCAATTTATTTCACCTATTTTTGTCGGATCAGAAATCTCAAACCTAAACATCGAACCCGGGGTGGGAAGATAGCAAACAGGGAGACGAAAATCGTTGATATGTATGTAAGCATCCCTTCCAATCCGCAATTGATACATCACGAGGACTAGTTCAGCCGATTTCTTGTTAAATTACTGTCCAATCTCCATCGCCACATCTTTCTCCCTCGATTAGGTAAATTATTACTCTAAGTACATCTCATTTTTTGCGTGTTTGTTTATACGAGGTGTAAGAGCATTTGGATGTTAATGCGTTATATATCACGTATCCGTTTTCTCCTATTAACTCTTGATCAGTGCGACAGAGCCATAATCACTATTGTTAGTAGTTTGACTTTCAATTTCATCAATACTGAACCCTAACAATTTAAATTACTCTCCATCGCCACAACTTTCTCACTCGGGTAGATTATTTCTCAAACACATCTCTATATGATTCTGATTTGTTAAATTTTATGTTTCCATTGTTTTAGCTTAGTTTTACTTTTGATATTTTCTTTCATTTTGGGTTTTACTAGTTACGATTTGATATGTACTTATATATAAGTACCAATAAAATCATGAAATAGGTATCTTAGATTAGGTTTTTGTCTAGACTTTCTTTTCCATACACTAGTCATCACTTTAGGATCCTGTTCATCGTTGAGTCAGTTTTCTTTCTTTTCTTGCAACGTTTTGTAAAATTCGATTATTTGAGAAGCCAGGGCAGCATTTTTATATATGTGTATGCTCGTCCCTGTTTACAACTCTTATATCTTATGTGGAATTTGCATTAATTAAGGTTTCAATTTTTTTTTTTTTGGCAAGTGTAGGAATGACTATTACAAGTAAGAGGATCAAAACTTGTGACAACAGTGATGTGGCACCTTGGTCAGACCTTAACCATGATGCACTTTTTATAGTTATGATGCGACTCAGAGTTGCTGATTTTGTTGCATTCAGTGAAGTTTGCAAGTCATGGAGGTTACTCGCACTCCCTAACAAGAAAAGGTTTATGGCATCCAAACCACCCATGTTAATGCGTATCTCTACTCGTGCTTCTAATAAGAAAAGGTTCTGCCTAGAGGACTTTGAAGGAGGAAAATTTAAAACCACACTTCCCCATTCTTGTGGCAGGGTTTATCTTGGATTAACTTGTGGTTACTTTATCATGTTTGGGAGGGATACCAAAGACTTCTGCCTTGTGAATCCTATCACAAGGCATGGACTTCATTTCCCTCCTGTTCCCACTCCCTATTGTGAATCAAGAATCAGTGCTATCCTTGTCTTTTCTTCTGTAATATCGAAATGGGTGTTTGTTATATTATATAGATTCGACTGTCTAATATGGTTTTGTATAGCGGGTGAAGGAGCATGGAATCATGTGTGTCACACTTCCCCCATCATTGATATACATTCTTTCAAGGGTAAGATATATACCATAGACTATGATTACAATAGTGGTAGAGGGGAAGCAAGACATTTATGTGAAATGAGGCTCAATCCAGAGCCCAAACTGATGTTACTCGAAACCAAGAATTTTCCAAAGGAAGACTTAATTCTCCCAAAGTTTGTCAGTTCGGATGAAAACCTTTATCTGACAGAATCCTTTCCAAATAATTCGTGGAAGGTTTTTGAACTTGATTTTGGCAAAATGAAATGGGTGCCGTTTGAAGAGACAGGAGATGAATATACATTTTTCTTTAACGGTTTTAAACATGGTGCTGCTGTTAAACTAGAGTCGAAAGACGGGAGATATGATGATCTTGATGAAAGTGGAAATGGCAGGTTCATTGGTAGGAACATGTGGTACTTCCCTCATGAATGTTTGAATGTTAATCTCTTACATGAGTGATGACTTGCTCACACTCGTATCTTTGTTTTCTATTTTTTTTCATATGTTGGATCAATTTTAAGATGTTGAGAACTAGCTATGGTTGATCTGGATTTTGCAATTTGTTGTTTAGTTGTTGTTTGCATGACTATCATTTATATATCCGGCTTATGTGATCTGTGTTCTTTGCTTTCAAATGTGTGGGTAATGCATTATCTATAGAACATCGTATGTTGTGTTGCAGAGGAAGAAGCTTTTGTTGGTCTGTTGTATGATTTGATTACTATTTGTATGTATAATTACTATATGTTTATTCATTAACTATCAATTTCTACTTGATGCATTTTAGTTCTTTTGAATCTTTTGTTGAAGGATTAATAGATAAAAGGGTGGGGCTTCCATTGTATAAAACTGTTGTACACATTTAAAATTGAATAGTGTTTCCCTTTAATTTGTGTTAGAATAACAATGGAAGAACTCCATGTATGTGTCGCCTTTTCACTAAAAGTGTTGTGTTCTTGGCTTCGACACGTCGTGTTCTCTTCCGACCATAACATCGTACTTACAACACATCGCCTTACCTCTACACGACTTGTTGTGTTTGGTAAAGTATATTACCATCTCCGAAATAACAACATACATCACCATTCTATGGCATACAGTATCGCATACATCTAGATTATGCGCCGCGCGCGAACACTTTTGCCAATTTTTTCAGTTTTACCATTCTTAACCATTTACACATCATTTAGTACTCTAAACTCAATCTCAATCGACTCCAAGAATCACAACAATAATTATCAACAAAATTCTCAAACTAATATGTTGAAATCTCATAATTCATATAAAATAACCAAATTACCGTTATAGTGAAAATAACTCCTTAACACAACTAATGGTCTTTACAATCAACTTAACTGACAATTATGTTACACCTTCACGTGTTTTACAAAATAGTTGTTACAAATGTGTCGTTTAGACACATGTAGTTAATGTTTACTATTGACTTCCAAGTATTAGTGGTGATAGAGAGGATTTGATCTTCTAAAATATCCTTCGGTATATAATATATATACCCCTCTTCTTTGTATACCTTCAAACAATCACTTGATACGGTCCACCTCGATGGCACTTTAAACAACGGTTGCAAATTCCCTAAATCCCTTGTTGTCAACTACACTGAACGGTTAATTGTATACATACATGCTATAGATTTTTTATATTTTTCTTGGCTAAAGGAATGCGCTTCTAAAGAACTAGCCTCTTCTTTGTATACCTTCAACAATCACTTTCAAGTTCTTCGTCAACATACAACCGGTGGATTTGGATTAGCCTACTCGAGTTACTTCTACTTTCAGCTCCATCTTCCATCCACATAAAGTAAAGAACAAATTATAAAGTAACAGATTAAGATAAATTAATAGATTAAGCAAAAATATCATATTAAGCAAACATAAAATATGGAAAAATAAGAGCAAACTAGATTATAACATATGGTAAGCACTAAGAAGGAAAGAAAATATAACATATAGAAAAATAAGAACAAACAAGATAATAATGGTGTAGGGAGGTAAGCACTAAGCATATAACTAAATCATATTATAACATATGGAAAATAACTGATGGAGAATGGTGCCTATTGTTACAACACAATTACAACCTTTGGTAATATTACTATTAATAGTAGAGTCATTTCTGGTTACACACAATAACAAAAATAAGCAATAAAACGACATGGGAAAAATATAGGGACTCGATTTATTAACTAATTAATAGTCTTTAATTAAGTAAATGAAATCTAGAAGTTCCGTAATGTTTTTTGGAGGATTAAATAAGATAATTTATACAGTTCGATAATTACCATTTATATGGATAATTATCAGGTGACTAGATAATTATTTTTTAGGGTTTTCTATTTTTCCCTATAAATAGAGAGGCATGTGGACGAAATATGATGTTGGGTTTTACTCAAAACCCTAGGAAAAATTCGGTCCTACCTCTTCATTCCTAAAACCCTGTTAGGGGCATATATTGCACCTTTTCACATGTTTATCTCATGTTTATTTATAGCATTGCATTGCATTTTAGTGTAATTTTGCATGCATTTTGCATATTTGGACATAATCGAGGACCAATCTACGTTTCACCATTTTTGTGGATGTTTCAAGGTGATTTAAAGATTGGAGCATGCATAGGATGTTCGAGGGAAGCTCTCGGTGAAGCTTCGGGATTTTCGGAGCTAAATTGAAGAATTAGGAAAATCGGAAATTGGACATTTTGTAGTTTATTACACAGTCCACACTTGACAAGGCATACGTTACGCGGGCGCGCTTTGGAAACTTTTCAGTACATCAAGACCATTACATCGTCGTGTGATGGCAAGGCTTATGTTAAACGGGCCGTGTAACGAGGTCTGAAGATTTTATGAGTTGCAACTTTCGATTAAAGAGAGTTTTTTTGTTGATTTTCATGACAACTTCGACCATAAACTTCAAAAGGACGATTGTGGGAGATCATTTCACTACTTATCACTTTGGAAACACTTAAATATTGAATTTGTAAGTTGTTTTGAAGATTTAACTTGTTGAATTTGTGCTTTGATTTAGCCATGTGTGGTTAACTTTTCATCTATTTCCGATTCTAGATTCTTAATTACTTGTTATTAGATTGTGATGTGAACTAGATTTCATGTTTATTATCTAGTAATCTTTGATTTGGTCTTCATTATGTACTTGATTTTTACTCATTTCACTTGATTAATGAAATTAGGGTTCATATCATGGTTGTTAGTCAAATTATGAAATTCGTATATGTGGTTTCATTGGAATCAAAATTAGTGTGATCAAAGATTGGATGTTCATTCTCCCGAGCATATGAGGATTACTGAACATTGTTGGTAATAATTGTATGAACTTAAGGTCTTTTAGTGATCTAATCTAAGAGTTTGTTTGGATTTTATCAACTAAATGAAGTTTTACATAAAGCATATTTTGAGTAAAACACTTTTGTCAATTTGAAGATATTAGACCTTATTAATATCTTACTTACCAACCTATATTGAACATAAACTGAAGTCACATTGCATCTTGCAACATAGTCCTTGAATAGGATTTGGAATCAGAAATGTCTTTAATTCTTGGATTTTAGTCTTAATTTTTTTTGCTTATGAAGTTTAATTTGAAGTCAACAAAACCCCCTTCGTTTAACAGATGTTATCGTGATGTGTGAAATATGGTTAAACACTAAGTCTCGTATATCTGTGGACCGACCCTCCTTACTCTATATTATCTTTAGTATATTTGGTAGCAGTGACTTGTGTTTATTTGTTATTATCCAATCCCTTTTATTTGTTTGTAACGTCCCAAAACAGTGATAAATTTTTTCATTTAAAGACAAACAATTTCATTCATTACATGTTTCAAAAACCATCACCAAGTATAATATCAAAACATCATAATACAAATTATTCGATATGCGGAAAATCATGAGGGGAGGATGTTGTGCCATCACACTGGGCCCTTCCCTTTCGAATCGGAAGTACCTGAAACCATAAACATAAATTGTAAGCACAAGGCTTAGTGAGTTCCCCAAAGTACCACATACCAATCATACAGCTGGGCTTAACCCTTGGGTGTATTCCAACCCGATATGCATATATGGGTCCTGCCCTAGGGTGTATTTCAACCCTGATCAACATGTATGGGCTCGTCCTGGGGTATATTTCAACCCAATAATATCATAGTGGGCCCCGCCCTGTGGTTTATTTCAACCCAATCATACCATAGTGGGCCCCGCCCTAGGGTTTATTTCAACCTAAACAAGAAAACACATATAAGCTACATACAACTATCCTTCTACATAACACAATAATGGGGTGGCATTGGTGCCTTCGACCCATAGATACAGTGAGAAAACTCTCCTCATAGACGGATGAAAAGTTGAACAATACGTTGCTCCAAAAACAAACTCTACCAGTCACCTTTACAAATAACGTTGACCAAAACTCAGACTACAACTCAAAATACCCGAAATACCCCTAGGTTAAACGTGGTAAAAATCCAGGTCATAGTCAAAGTCAACTGAGTCAATCGGGTCAACTCGGTGAGCATGTTGGGCGCACTCAATCTATACACGGGGCGTACTACACATTTGACCAAGGGATCGAGGATCTGACCACGTACACGCGGCGTACCCTTTGGTACGCCCAGCATACGTGACTGCCAACCCTCCTTCCTATTAAGAGCTTAATCCCTTAACCCTTTTTGTCCAAAACCTAGATCTAGTCCTCAAACGTTATTCTTAACCATAAATTTTCCAAATTTATGGTCTTGCATGGATATTAAGACCTCAACATCAAAAACCCTAGCTTCTTGACTCATTAAGACAACCTAGATCATGCATGGAAGGAAACTAATGCCCAAGATCACATTTTTATGACTTATCACACCCTAAAACATCTGAAAGGACAACTTAAAGGTCATGGAGTATTTCATACTCACAAGGATCAAGATTTGGGACAAAAGGGGTAACTTTTAAGCTAGAATGAGATCTAAAGTAATACTCATCAAGGTTGGAGCTTTATACCTCCAGAACATGCAGAAGAGAGAGTAGTTGTTGGATCTAAAGGCTTGAGTTAAACACTACCACACCAAGATTCTTCCTTCACCACCAAAAGCTCCAAAATGACACTCCAAAGCTTTAAAACACACTCATACACTTTAAGGTTTTGAAATAGGGGATAAGAGGGATGGAGGCTGGAGCTAAGAAAGGGTATGGGGCTATAATGATGCTTAAATATGGTCCAAACCCTAAAAATTAGGGTTTGCTGTTGGAACCTGAAAGTGAACCTCTAACAATCCCTAACCCTTGGATGTTCCAAAGTCAGTCTTAGTTCCGAAGTCGTATATGGCCCGGAGTCAGTCTATGGTCCGAAGTGAAGTTGGTGTCCGGAGTAGAGAATGTGTTCAAGTGTTGATGTTCCGAGATGGTGAATTAGTCCAAATCAATCTATCTGTCTATAC